AGTCAATCTGAGTGCAGAGCACTGCCATGACTGCGGGGATGGAGGGATCGGGGCTGGGGGGCAGTGCTCTGCTGCCTCTAAGGAGCAGGGCTACGCTGGGGAGGGGGGTGAAACCAGTGGCACTGGAGGCAGCAGTGGAGCGGGGTGCTGACAGAGGGGATGGTGGGCAAGCTCCATGCTCCACCTGCTCCTGGGAGGCGGTACAGGGTGGTAGGTGGCAGTGCTCTGTCCCTGCCCTCCTCCCTCGCAATCATTCTTGATGGGCAATTCGCTAGTCAATTATAACTTTTGATCCAATTATATCAAAGTGATTCAAACATTTAAGGGGTACAGAGAATGTTTAGAATGCTTGTGACTTTAGTCAATAAATATATTTTACCCATCTTGGTACAAAAGGATCATCTTATAGGTAAGTGATGGCCTACAAGGAGTTAAACCATGACCCATTGGGGATGAAGGGGAGAGGACAAAGTGGTCTGAAAGCCAGAGTTATAAGCAAGACTCGGTTATATCAAGAAAGATAATCCAAGTGTGGTTTCTTGTTTTCAAAAAGACATAGGGCAGGAATGTTCACTAAAACAACATAAATACTGTAAGCAGGTCACTCACCCAGCTTCCTTTCTGAGGCCAATCAACTCCATAATCAGGTTTACAGACTGCTTATTTTACTTTGAAAACCTTGTCCCTATAGGGGAAGAGAAACAATAAAATAAGCAAGTGTATAAAACCAGTACCATGGCAAGGAAGTTTGGTGCCGGGGCCAAAGCCCACAGTGGCAGCCTGACTTTACCCCATGCACAGATCCAGGCGGCGCACACATCCCCCATGCTTGCACGGGTGTGCACACAGTGATGGGAGCCACCCTCCCCCCACTTCCTTGCACTCCCACAAATGAGTCACTCACAGCTCCGTTCTGCACCCTGCCCCAGCTGGGCAGTGCCTGTTGGCGCCCCTTCACTTTGACGCCCAGGGCAGTCATCCTGCTCACTCGCCCCCTCCCCACCCCCACCCCACTTGCTATGGTACTGTATAAAAACTGCAAACAAACAAAACCTAAGACCTGTGGTCTTTGATCAGAACCTAGGAGGGATTACACAGGCTTAATACTTCACCCTAAACACACTTTTTCCCACTCTTGCCCTCTGCTCCAAAACAGCCCCTCTGACTCTACCCTCATCTACTGGCCATCAGCTGCCACTGATTCCAGCTTTCCAGGCAAGCAGACTCCTAACTGTTCAGTCCCTTCACCCGAGTCTCAGTCTGAGCACCCCCTTGCAAATTCCTATCAGAAAGCATACATATTTTATGATGCACTTCCTTGTCTCTTGTATTTGATCCCTCTCTTTTAATATTTCTGTAAGGAAATATGTACTTTCCACAATTCTGTTTATCTTTATTTGCTTTAAATTTAGTAATACAAGATATAGTGTGTGACATAATTTATTTTAAGGCTAATTATCCATTCCCAGGTCTTTTGCAATTTTCTGTCAAATTAGTCATATGGGAAAACACATACAGGTGCTTTAATTCTCATTTAGATTAATAAAAATCTCACTTTTTTCCAAGTCTCTTTTCAAATTTTAAATACATCCCTCTCGTATTACAGTCCAGGTTCCCACATTATTTTATCTACAGATTTAATTATTTTGTAGGTGATGCTACTTACCAGTTATTGACTTAGTGCCCTGGACCATATACCAAATTCTACCGGTTTTCCTCCTTTGATAAGATAGGCCCCAGTGTTCTGGGTCATTTGGTGGAAGGGGTTAGGTCACTATAAAACAGAGAAAGTATTTTATCATAACAGTACACTGACATATGGTAACATATCTGGTTATATCACCTCTTATCTCTCAATCCCTGATATCAATTGACTTTATTTTGATAGTTAATAAAACATAGACTGCTCTAGCCCAGTGCTATTTCATTTAGGCCCACGGCTCTATAACAGGATATTTAAATCAGAAAAAAAGGTTTCTTTCCACATACTAATAGAAGAATAGTCAAAAGTGCAACAAAACCATATCACATAAACATATACGATAAGTACAGAGAGCTAAAAAGCCCAGCACTGAATCAATTAAATCTTTTCAGGTTAGTCTAAGTAGCATAGATTAAACTGATAAGTAAGTGATCAAACATTCACTTTTGATTCTGAAAATGCAGCCACATGCCTACAGTGGCTCAGGCCAGAAGCTGGGGGTGGGGGTGTTAGAGCACGCTTCCCTGATTGACTGAAGCAGACAGCCAAGGCTAACCCAACCACACTGCAAAAAGGAATATGCAGGGGAGTTGCAAGGCATCCTGGGATGCTGGGGGACTGGGAGTTCGCTTGAATCTGGAGGGAATCTGGGACAGAAGTTTAATAAACCGATTTAACTTAAGTCAGTTAAGCCTGATACTGTATCCATCCAGGTTTAGCTTAAACCAATTTTGGTCATTTTGAAATCAGTTTATCTGTACTGAACTTCTATCATGTTACAGAATTGAATCAGTTTCCAATAACTCTTATTGGTTTATGTATAATTTCTGTCCCTAGCCATAAGCCACAGCTACAGCAGCAGATAAACAGAAGTCTGATTAAAAAATACTGGCCAACACTTTACAATTCAGTGTCTATTATTATTGAATAGGCGTGGTAGGGTAAAAAAAAAATTTTTTTTCCTCCCAAGTTAAAAAAAAAGAAGAGACAAACCTTGAAGATTTTATTCAGTCTTTAATCAGGTCAGATATCCCCACACATCAGGACTTCTTGAACATAATTTTAAAGTCTAGCTTTGTCCTTATAAAGCAGAGGCGGGCAATTATTTTGGGCTGAGGGCCACTCATTGAGTTTCGGCAAGCCATCAAGAGCCACATGACAGGTAGCTCAGGGCAGATTAATATTAATTTTCTAAATTTTTTAGGGGCCCTGTGGGCCAGATAAAATGGCCTGGTGGGCCGCATTTTGCCCACCCCTGTTACAAAGCCTAGTCAGTGTAATAATGATAGGGAGGCAAAATCTGATTAGGTCATCTTTTCCACCCTGAACCCTGGGGGCTTATGCTAACGTGTTCACAACAGTATATTGCCAAGTACTTTGTACTTTTACCAGGCAAAGCTATCTCAAATCATTTGTGGCATCCTAACAATGAGCAAGTTTTAAATTGCTTTAGAAAACATCATGCAACAGATGCCACCTAAGAGAATGATAAAGAGAAAGAAATATTATAAGAAACACATATAACAAAGATTAAGCACAAATAATACATTACAAAAAGATTTCCAAGAATATTCATGAAAGAAAAATCAAGTATAAAATACGATCTCTATTCTCTGAAGGATAATAGTCAAAAGAAAACCCCAGGGGAAATTCTATGCTGATTTATTATTTATGATTGAATAGGCTATAAATCAGTGCAAATCTCTTTTTTTTCATCAAGGTTGCTAAAAATATCATGAAGCTATGGTGCCCATCCAGCCTAAAAAAAAAGAAAAAATAGAATATCAATACAGCATTGATTGTGAAGTTCCCGTGGCTAGGACTGCACAGTCCTAATCAAATTTTATTCCCTTACCAGTATGTCAGAGCTTCTGTGAAACCACACCAATCCTTTTCTTCAGCAAACTATCTGGCTAATCTTAGAAGAAGACAGAAGACCTGTAAAAGGTTATATAGATCACATTTTTGCAGCCCAGAAGACTACCATACCATAAAGCAGTATATTCACAATTTATATACCAACTCAAGGGACAGAAAAGATTAAATGACTACAAAAAGAAAAGAATTCTGGTCTAAAACACAGTTCCTAATCAAGCCATCCATTTTTCAGACTATAAAATGGTTACTGTTTTTGTAAAAGTCTTCTAAAAGTCAAAAAGATGGGTTCCCCCCTCCCCAATAAAAGGAAAATGTGAAGTCATGCAATTTATCATCTTTCTGGAACCAAGATAAAAATGTACAAACTAAAGTGAAGGGGCAGGTCACACCTAAGGTGGTAGACTGTCATGCACAAGGAACTGCTGCAGAGCAATATTTAGCAAGGTTTTAATATATTTAATTGAAAAAGTGAATGAAATGTGTGGGCACCCACCAAAAACTTTAAAAAAAAATCAAAATAATATTATAGAAGATGAGATTTACTATACTAAAGAAAAACACAAGTTATTTCTGTTGGTTTTTTAAGCACTACTTGGTGACTTTACAGTTCCAGTTCTTGAAATTTCTGTCTGTTCAGAAAAGCTAGTTATATCTTCCTTCCAATTCATTGACTCAAGCCTTTTATATATATATATCTAAGAAGTCCTATGCTATCTTTGATACTAATTTTGTAAACACTTCTATGCATTCATCACTTCAACAATATGATTATATACATATTTAAGTGTTTGCAGGATTGGGATCAGGGCTTTAGGTTATGCAGCTGTAACTATTAATTACCAAGAGCTGGGCTAGTCAGATTCTAGCTGCTATTTGCCAGAAAGTAACTACCTGATTTATTCACTGCCTGACTGCTATGGCTGCTACAGAGAACATAGCTGTAATTACCCAGGTAAGGAGTAAAGAAAAAGAAAAAAAAAATCAACAAAGTCTGTAAGATCTTTTCAGTGTGAAATGCTGATATTTTCTTCTTCATAAATAATCTTAAAGGGAGAGGGGTGTTCTTTTATTCTGCTTCTGAATAAAGTTAAGAAAATGTTTCAACAATTTAAAAAGAAAGAGAAACGGTTAATTCTGTTTCAGGCTCAGTGTATCACATTCACTAACACATGCTTACCTGCAAAAGAATTCCTACAGTAGAGAATGGATTACTAATTAAAGGGGGCTTAATGAGGGATGACCTTTTCTTAACCTTTGCTCTATTTTTAAACACGGCAACAGTAACAACAGAAAAAAGATGGCTAACAAGAAACTTAATTAACTAGTACTGTATATAATTCACAAAATTGCATAAAAATGGGATGCTACATAAACAAACTGTAACATCAGTAGAGCCTAAAACCCAGTGTTGAGCCAGTTTTATATGATTACTGCTTAACTTGGGACTATACCCTTCTCTTGTGGGGTTTAACTAAAGAGCATTTTAATTTTTTACTACCTTGTTATGAATTTAGAAGCAAATAAACAATACTATGAAATCACATTGCTGCCTTTCAACAATAAAAGCACAGTCCCAGCATATCATGAGTTTTCAACTCCTACTTTTGGGGAAAAAAGTTGAAGAGCTAGACTTAAAACAATCAATCTGGTTTTACTTCAAGGGAGACTTCAGTTTGGATTAAGGTGATGATCTCAGTCCTGAAACTAGGCTCACACAGGTGGACCCTTACATCCATGTGGAGACCCACTGAGACATAATGGGTGTCCATGGGAAATCAAGGTCTAAGTCTCTTACATGTTCGTGTAATGTTGTTCTTTATATTCCATTGAAATAATTAAAGCCTCTTTCCTGGGTTTTAACAGAAATTGCCCACATTCAGATGTTTCTTCCTTAAGTGTTCTCTGTTCATTTACACTGTAACAAAACAGCAGCATGCCATTTTGTGACCCCTGTCTGAGCAAAACCAGTCTTTGAGAAGCATATTTAAAAGAGCAGGGGTTTAGGTTTACTTATGCATTATTTCTTTCAGAGTATCATTCCAGGTGCCCTTATTAGTTCAGCTACTGTCATATCAGGTAACAAATTGATGAGACTGAGGGTGGCAGGTCTCTACCTCTCCCCTTAGGTGTGCGCAAAATGGCCATCAACTCTTAAAACAGTGCTTAAAACCACATTTTTTTTGCCAGAAATCTTCCAAATATAGTGCAGCAAGATGGTAATTTGTACTTTAGAGCAACGGTTCCCAATCTGTGGTACACGTACCACCAGTGGTATGCAGACAACCACCTGTCAGCAGAACATGTTTACAGATTTATTATAATGACTTTAGATATGACAAAAATTTGCTGGTGGTACTTAAGGTTGTATCATTTTAAATTGGTGGTGCACAATCTGACAGATTTTGGGAACTGCTGCTTTAGAGGATTATCATCTGCCCTGGTATGTGTTTAGCCCAGGGATTCTTAACCTTTTTAGGCTCAAGGCACCCCTCAGAAAATGCTGGCTAAGTTTTCACTCATTTTTGGCTGTGGAAAACTAATACAGCCATTTTTCTATTGTAAAGAACTCAGAAAGACCACAACGGGTAGGATTTATTTTAAAACTTATTTCTTATTTGAAATTGTCTGCACACCTAACAGTGCTAATGCTGTGTGGGCTTCCGTAGCACCCCTGAAAGGATTTCATGGCCCCCCCACTGCACCGTGTGAGAATCCTTGGTTTAGACGTTGAGCAATTTGTTTCTTTTCCTTGCTACGTAATGTAGAGCCCGACTGCAAGGGCCCAGTGAGAGCCATTGGCTCTATAAATAACTCAGGGCATGTGAAAGCTAGCATTCTCAAAGTGGGTGCTCTCAGTGAGACACCAGCAGATTACCTTGCATGAAAAACTTTGTACCAGTGGAGAAAGCCAGGCAGGTTCTTCACAGGCACAAGACCCTACATCCCAATTTCTTCCTTATAAAGCTCCAGGTCCTGGAGTCCTGGGAGAAACTCAACTTTTATTCTTAAAGACCTGTGGGTTTTCTGCCTTTGCCCTTTCCGGGAAAAGCCTCAAAAGCGGGTGAATCCTAAAGACTCCAGCAAGGGGCATTTAGGATCTGCCGTGAAGGTGCGGAGAGAGGGGCTGAGGCTCCAACATTAACTCCCACGGGCTCACAAAAGGGTCCTGCCATTGTCACTTGGGCAAGCGAGGCCAGTTCAGGCCTCTGGGGGCTGTTGCGGCCTGAAAGAGCATAAAATAAAAGACTCCGGGCCCGAGCTCTCCGCGGCTTCAGTCCCTCCCTTCCTCCTTCCCTCCCTCTCTTCGCCGGGCCGAAAAGCGGAGGCGGCTCGGGCGGGGGGAGAGGGCCGCGGCGCAGCTCTTCCCGAGCGCAGCCCTTTCTGCGGCCATTTTCTCCGCCAGGGGCTCGGGGAGGCGGTAGCGCCGTCCGTTGGGCTGAGCGGCCCCGCGGCGCTGAGGGGAGCGCGGGCGGACCCGGGGGCCGACGGCCGCGGAGCCAGGCGGAAGGCGGGGCGCAGGGCAGCTGCGAGCGGAGGGAAGGACCTGGGTTGGCGCCTCCTCCCGGCCTTCCAAAGCGGCGGG